TATAAGTACTTCATGATAGGCAGAACCACCTGAGGAGCAGCCCCGCTGACAACAGCAGCTGGCTGCGCTGTCGCACCAGCCGGCTCTGGCCACCAGCAGCCCCGGCAGGCCACCAGCGCACCTGCATGTGCTGCACCTGGCGCAGCACCGTGGCAAGCTGCGCCCGCGGCAGCAGCGCCCACAGGAACGACTGGCCCCTATCCGTCTGGCTGTCCTCGATGCGCGACAGGCCCCAGGGACCCACCCCGCTGGGCGAGGCAGGGTCGTGGCGGGGCCATTTGGGCACAGAGTGCACCAGCCAGGCCACCCGGCGGTCGTCCCACAGCACCACGCCCTTGCAGTGCCCGCAGGTGCGGTACGCGGTGGGACGGGCGTAGCCTGCCCGGCAGGCAGGCAGGGCGGGGCAGGACGGGGCCTGTAGGTGGTGGGCGGGTGGGCTTCGTCACGGGCAAAGGGCCTCATGACAAAGCTGCACACGTGGCCAAAAGCGCTGCCAGGCCAACAACCATGAGGGCATACCACCCAGGTCCCAGGGTCACCTGTGGGGCTGCCATCCGGCCGCGCCTCTGGCGGGTCATCATTGTACATCAGGCAGCCCCGCGGCGTTGGCAGCATCCCCGCCAGCTGCATCCCTAGCCACTCGTCGATGCTGCTCCACTGCTGCAGCAGCCCGCTGCACCTGCCCACATCGGTGGCAAAGGCCAGCCGCCGAGCCGCCACCTTGTAGGCAAACGACCAGCTGGGAGGGGCCACCAGGCCTGTAGCCGCGCCGCTGGCTGCCTGCACCACCTGCACCGGCGCTGCCGGCGGCTTGGTGGGGCCGCCGTGCTGCAGAGGCTGCCACTGCTGCTGTTGCTGCTGCATGCCGCCGGCACCGCCAGACACCAGGAACTGCTGCTGCGGCTTCTGCTGCTGGTAGCCAGCACCGGCACCAGACTCTAGGTCGGCAGCCGCCCGCTGCCGCCGCTTGCGCCAGCAGGCGCACCAGATAGCGAGGGCTGCAAGCCAGAAAGCAGGCTCTGTGTGGTGAGAGGATGCCGGCAAGGCAGGCCAGCAGGCACCTCTTTCCCCCAGCCACGGACAAGAGCTGGCTCTAATCCTTGCACTGGCCCTACCTGCCACCAGCACAGAGCCCACCGAAACACCAATAATGATCCACGTGGTGCTGCTGATCCCGCCGCTGCTGCTACCGCCGCTGTTGACGCTGCCGCTGCCGCTTGAAGCAGTACTGGGGCTGCCGCTGGCGGTCGCCGGGGTTGGCGATGCAGCTGCTGCGCCTGTGGTGCCGCTGCTTTCGCTGCTGTCACTCTCGCTGCTATCGCCCACTGCCACCGCCTGCGGCTGTGGTCCACCGGTGCAGCCGCTCATGTAAGCCGCCACCCGCACGCGGCAGGGGCGGTCGGCATTCAAGCAGCGAAGCAGGATGCTGACGGCAGCTGGCGTTGGGCACGAGTCGACGACTGGCGTGGTGGCGCAGCCGGTGGCCGAGGTCACCGCTGCACGCTGCTGTCCATCACTGCCGCTGCTTCCCTCCTGCCAAAGCTCCAATTCATACTGGCTGGGACCCTGGGGACTGTCAGCATCCTGCAGGGACGCGGTCCAGTGTGGCTGCATCTTATGGCAGTGCCGAATTGCCTCCGGCCCTGGAATGGCCAGCAAAGATTCCAGCACAGTGGGCCAACCCACCTCGGCAGACCCCACGATGTAGATGGGCCCCACGCTCTGGTAGGCAGCCACTGTGGCGGCGCCGCCAGCGGGCACCTTGGCCGCCGTGTCATCGCCGCCGGGCACATGATCCACGCAGCCGACAGCATCCTGCAGCGTGCGAGAAGCCCTGCAATGCATTGTAGAAGTTGTGGTGCTTGCGGCAGCCGTGTCTGGTTGTAGTCGAGAGGCGCTACGCCCCAACGTGCACACCTGGCGGGTGCCACCGCCGCCGACACAAGGAGCAGCAGCGCTAGCGCTCTTCCTCCCACAGTTGCGCCGCGCCGCGCCCTCATCGGTGGGCTACTCCGGCCACCGCTCCGCTGCCGAGGAACGAAAGTTGGAGGAGTGGTTGGGCAGCGGGCTGCAGCTGGCACCCCCGACTCTGCCTGGAGCCTCGCAGGTGGACATTGACGGCGTTCGGGCTGCATTGCCAGTTTGCAACAGCCTGCAACAGCACAGCATGCCCAGCGCGCCGCCGCCGCCGCCTTGCCAGGCGACTCTATGCTTAGGATCCTTGCTTCATTACATGCTTTGATGATGCCTGCAGATGCAATACAATGTTCAAACACTAGGCCGTGGGTGGTGGTGATGAACGGCCCGGTGCCACCACGGCTCTCTGGCTGCCGTCGCTGCTGCCGCCACAGGCGTCAGCTGTTCGGCACGAGCAGTGGCCATCTGAAGCCTTCTTCTACCAGCCTGCCCGCTGCTTCCAGTCTCTCGCTTCCCCCCAGATACAGCATGCAAGCCCACAATCAGCGCAGCCGTGACTGCAAGCCACAGTCTGTGGCGCGGCGGGCGGTCTGCTCCCTCCTGCTCCTGCCTGGCAGCTGCGAGGGCTGCCTCAGCGGCCTCTGCCCGCTCCCTCCAGCTCTGCGCTTCTCGCGCCAGCTCAGCTGCTGCTACTTGCTGCTGCTGTTCTGCCTGCGCCGCGGCGGCGGATGCCGCCGCCCATGCTGCCTCAGCCCTTGCTGCTTGTAGCGAGGCCTGCAGCTAGCGAATCGAGGCGTCATCCTCGGTGCTGATGCAGACATGCAGGCCAAGCAGGACATGCAGCAAGGGTCAGCAGGACAAAAGTGCCCACCTGCAGCTCCTCCAGCTGAGCCTGCAGCTCGCTCGCGCGCTGCCGGGCAGCATCCGCCTCGCGCCTCAGTGCAGCGGCCTCCTGGCTGCTGGGAGAACATTTGTCGGCTGCAGGGTTGGGGAGAGGGCGCAGACTCAGCATGGCTGGCATGAGGAGCAGCTCAGGACATCGGCACATCACTCCGGTCATGCCCTACCCACTCCATCTGCCTTGCTTGCCTGCTTGCACTCCATTTGTCTTGGAGTGTTGGGTGTGCTGCTGGTGAGCATGGCTGCTGGCGGTGGGGTGGTGGTGGAGACCCTTGCCGCGTGGATGGCGCTGCCCGCTAACGAGGCTGCTGCCCACCCGAAACTCCGCTGAGCAAGGCGGCACGCTCGCCTCCCACTGAGCCAGCTGGCTGTGCGCCCTGCTATCCCCTGCCGCCGCGCTGTCTGCCCGAATCCCAAACAAGCGCCACAGCGGCGCCGGCTCTGCATGCAACAAATGGGTGCCACAGGACGAGTCGCAACGGTTTGCTCTGGCGCAGCAGGAGCAGCAGGAACAGCCAATAGAGCTTACCCTCCTGCTGCCGCCGCCGCCACTCCAGGCCGCGCCTGATGGCCGTAACCAGCGGGCCGTGCGGGATGTGTGTCTGCAGGCCCCCTGCCGCGCTGCTGATGCAGGCCAGCATGCAGTGCACGGCCCGGCACTGCTGTGCTAGGCTGTGCTGCTCCTGGCCGGCAGCAAACGCCTGCAGCACCTCCACTGCTCGGTCCGCCAGCTGCTGGCACAGATCCGCGCCGCCGTTGGAGCCCCGGCCTGCCTCCGTACGCAGCGGCTGCAGCGCCGCCACCAGAGACAGCCAGCAGCTGCCGGCGGTCGCCTGCGCTGCGCAGCGCAGCAGCAGCTGCCGCAGCTGCTCCGCCTCGGCTGGCGACAGCTGCCCGCCATCATCAGGGAACCCACGAGCCGATCCCGGGCGGCGTGGCGTCTCACGTCGCGATGGCGTCTCACGTGCGGCAATGAAAGCTGCAGCGACACCAGCAGGATGCGGTCAGGGCCTATTGAGCTGGTTCCGGGTCCGCAGACCGTGTTCAGAACACACATGCAAAGAGGGAGGCGCTCCGCTCAACCCACCCACCAGCAGCTTGGCGTTCAAGGGTGGCGGCATACTTGGCATACTGCCGCTGAAACTCTTGCTCCACGTCATTGATCGTGACAGCCGATGCAGGGTCCTCTGGGCGCCGCCGCAGCCAGCTGAGCAAGGCCCGGCGCTGGCGGTGGTCGGCGCCGCCGCTCCCGAGCACCGCCAGGGCGGCGGTGGCGACATAGGGGTCGGGCTGGCCGTAGAAAGCTGCGCGTATCTCGGCCCACAGCGCGGGCTCCAGCCGGGTGCGCTTGGCCTCGAGCAGGCTGGACCTGAACTCCCCGTCCTGGGCTCCCCCAAACTGCCTGCCCGCCTTGATGTCCGCCTGCGACATTGCACGCCCATCAAGATGCACGCATCAGCAAAGATGAGCTCTCCTAGCACGTGGCCTGGCACAGCAGGGCCCAGCGTGCCGCCGCCGCCTCCACGACCGGCGCCTGACCAGTCTCTATCAACAAGCAGAGTAATGTCATTACATGTACACGCAGTTGTACAAGCAAGCTGCAACAGAGGAAAGAGAACCACTGTGCCCCACAGACAGGGCAGATATGCCGTCAGCTGGCCGCGCTCCGCCCGCAGCGCACACCCCGTCGGGCCGTATCTTCACATGTGCAGGCAGGAAGTGATTGCCATGCACTCATGCAAATGGCTGTGGATGACAAACGGCGCCCAACCTGCACACAAATAGCCGCAACGCTCTGCCCCGCACCGCTTCACTCTCCTGCGCACCGCTCCCGTCGCTCACAAACCTACAGGCCAGCATGACCTTCCCTCCCCCAAGAGTACCACCAATCGTTGTTAGCCTTGCCACCTGTAAACTTGCCCTTCATCTCGTTCACTGCAAGCTGACGCACGGCCATGGAGCAAAAGCGATGGTCGTGTGGCTGTGGGCGCCGCCTCCCTCCGCCGCCACCTGGCACGGTTTGAGTGGGCTCGTTATACACGGCCGCTGGATCGTTTCCAGCGCTTCTTGCCCTTCGATCTTTTCACATTGGTGCGTTCCCCTGCCTATTCAAGCTCGCCACTCAACGTGGACTCGGTCCTCAGGACCCCCTCTCAAGACGCGGCGGACCAGCTCGCTGCAGCATGCAGCCTGATTCCGCGCGCAGCCCCTGCCCCTCGTCGGTGAGCGGGAGCCGGGAGGAGGGGCCAGCGGCGATCACTTGCTTGGGTTCCATTCACGACTGAGGAAGGCACACATGCCTTGCCTGGATGCCAGAGAGCTTGAACAATCGCACATGTGCCATAGGCGGCCCACTCAACCTGGCGGTGCCGCCGCTCGCGCCTCCCCCGCCAGCCGCCACCGTGCAGCACTGAACGCTCCACCCATTTGCTGGTCCTCTGCAGGCAGTGCGCCAGAGCCGCGACCTGTCGGGAGCACTTGTCCGCATGGCCGAGCAGTTTGCCGACCTAGAGGCGCAGGCACTGGTTGTGACGCATGCGGCAGCAGCATCGCCCAGCCGCCGCCGCGCCACCGACCCCGGCAGCCCGCTGCCGCCCGGCGCCGGCCCCAGCTGCAGCGTGCCCGGCTCGCCGTTGCTGCAGCCAGCCGGCAGAGGCAGGCAAAGGCTTGCGGGGAGCGCTGGAGGGTCACCCACTCTGCTGCCGAATAGCATGTCGTCGGCGGTGGCTGGTGGTGCACGTGGCCGGCTGCCGCCGCTTACCGCTGACCGCCTGCAGCAGTACCGCCGCAGCCGCAGCAGCTCCTCTGTCGCCGCAGCAGCCTCCTGCCGTGGAAAAGCGTCGGGGGCGCAGCAGGCCAAGCAAATCGCCATGGACGCCGCCTCTGGCGCTGCACGCAGCACTGGCGGTGATAGCACACAGGAGCAGCCCTTGGACAGCTACCAGCGCTTTGCGGCCCAGCTCTTCCAGGAGCGCTTCTGCCCGCTGCGGCTGGGCCTGCAGCAGCAGCACCAGCCGCAGCCAGAGCAGCAAGAGCAGCTTCTCAAAGAGCAGGAAGAGCCGCCTCAGCAGCAGCCAGTGCAACCGCAGCAGGAGCGGCAGGCGACTACAGTTGCAGCAGCCCCGCACCTGGTGCACCAGCTGCGGCAGCTTGCGGGGAGCCTGGACCGGCAGCAGCAGCAGCAACAGCAGCAGCAGCAGCTGGTGCAGCATCCCGAAGGAGAAGAGGAGTCGGTGCCGGAGACTCCTCCGGATGAGCAGTACCAGCAGCAGGCTGCAGTATCGGCAGTGTACTGCAGCGGCGGCAGCCTGGGGTCTTACGTATCAGAGGAGGGCGACAAAGTCCTCATTGCCAGCCCCAACAAAGCGCTGCCCGTGGCCGCGGCACAGCACTTGCCAGCCAGTGCAGGGCTGCGGCAGGCCCCCAGCCCGCTCCCGCATCTGTCGGAGGCGCTGGAGCTGCTGACTGCACCGCCGGGGCCGGCTGCCCATTTACAAGCAGCAGGGCTGCCGGGCTCGGAGCCGGGCAGCAGCAGCAATGACAGCAGCAGCACGGCGGCAGGCGCCGCATGTCACCCTGTGGCGGCAGAGCAGCAGGCCGGCCTCCCTTGTTCACCAGAAAGCGCTCCCAACCAGCATATGCTGGGTAGGTGGTGTGCTGTTGTGCATAACTGGCTGCCTGCTTCTTTGCAGAAGGTCTGTCCAGCGCCCATATCGTTCCTTGCGCGCCCCTCCAGTCCATACTCTTTGGCTGCTGCTTACAGGGCCTGGAGGCGCATCGCCCACCGACCTCCGTCCGCTGCGCCTTGCATTTGACCAAGCTGCCAGCCCTGATTTGTTGCCCTCGCCGCCACTGCCAGCAGCAGCAGCAGCACCAACTGCAGTAGTGGTGGCAGCAGACTTGGCAGCAGCCGAGCCTGGCAGCAGTGATGCAGCCGCTGTGGCGCGCTGCCTCGATGCCTCGACTGCAATACCCCTCGCAGTCGAGGCATCGAGCCCGCCTCGAGAGCCGCCAGCAGCAGGGGAGCCGCCAGGAACCCTCGCTGGACCAGCAGCAGGCGCGCCTGCCGCCGATTCCCGCCCTTCTACTGCGCCGCAGCAGCCTGCAGCGCTGGACACACCTGCTGCTGCTGCACCAGCGGTGCATGTCGCTGTGGAGCGCCCGACCACGGCCAGCAGCCGGGCTCAGGCGCTGCTGCGGCTCAAGCAGCGGCGCTTGCAGCAGCACCTGCACGAGCAGCAGCCAGGCGGTGGAGGTGCCAGCAGCACCGCTGTCATGCCTGGGTCTGTGCAGCTTGGGCTGCCTGACGCTGCCAACGCAGCAGCCGCGGCTGATGCAGTCACGAGCCATCCGGCCCCTCAGCAGCTGGCCATCCATGTCGAGGCAGCAAGCACTGTGTCAGGGGAGCATGCGGAGCAGGGGCCAGCCCAGCAGCAGCAGGACCAGGGAGGCGAGCAGCCGGCGCGGCAGCCGAAGCCATTCCTGCGGCGGCGCAGCCAGATGATTCCCATGCAGGCAAGCGCTCTGCATTATGCAGCGCCTGTGGCTCCATACGTTTGTGGCTGGTGCAGTATTCTGGTTTGCAGCATGTTCGGCGCTTCGCTGAGCATGCTTTTGTTGAGTGCCGCTGTGTTCTCTCCCATGCTGCAGAAGCTACCAGACTACGGCGCGGTGAGGCCTCGCACAAGCTCCCATTGGGCCCCGCCTCCCAGCAGCGGCAGCGACACGCCTGGTGGCAGCTTGTCCGGCACACCGGTCGCCTCCCTGGCAGGCACTCCTCGGTTGCCACAGACTGCGCCGCCGGCGCAGCTGCAGCAGCCAGGCGGCAGGCCTGCCAGCAGCCGAATTGTGGGCACCGCCGCTGGCCGAAGGGCAAGCAGCCGGCTGGGCGTGGGCTGCCCTGGCACTGCAGACAGCATGCTTGGCGGTTTGGAGCCTGAAGTGATGACCTACACACTGCCCCGCACCAGCAGCCGCGGCAGCGCAGCAGCCGCTGCTGCCGCTGCTAGCCGGGCCGCTGCGCAGGGCACAGCCAAGCAGCCATCGCAGCGGCAGCGCTGGCCGTGGGGCGCCGCCGGCGAGCAGGTGCCCGCACCGGCGGCCGCCAGCCGGCCCCGCACCGCCGCCAAGCAGCAGCAGCAGCAGCAACGCAGCGCTCGGACCACGCCATTTGCCCCGCGCCCCAACAGCCGGGAGGGCCCATACTGGCCGCTGGGGGAGTCCGGCACGGGCACCATGGGGCGTCCGCAGTCGGCTGGGCAGTCGCGGCGGCCGCGCGGCACGCCTCTCTACGATGCAGCCAGCCTGCTGCCGCTAACACTGGAGGGGGGTCACCATGCCGGCCTGGGCGGCCACAGCGGCGGCTCTACCCGCGACCGTGGCAGCCGCAGGCGCAGCGGCAGCGGCAGCGGCTTCCGTCACGAGCAGAGTTTCCAGTCGGGCGCCGGCGCCTTGCTACCGCACGGTGGCAGTGGCGGCAGCGCAGCGGAGGCCGCGGCAGGAGCCTCCGGCCCCCTGGACGATCTGCTATCACAGGTGGACCGCATGCTACAGACTGTGGAGCGCGCCATCAGCTAGAGCGGCGGTGGCAGGCAGGCAGGCAGGCAGGCAGCCCCCAAGACATGTCTGTCATCTCCTTGTACCACAACACCAGCCCAGTTGTAACACCAACTTCTTTGCCCAAGCTGCTGCTTGCGGGATGGATTACACAGCGAGATGCTGCATGCAGCACTGCAGTGGGCTTGGTGGCAAGGGTCACGATGGCTGAGCGCAGGCCTGCCTTGCTGCTACCGCTGCTGCTGCTGCTGCTGCTGCTGCCAGCCGCTCTCATGTGAGATATTTGTCTGCCTGCTCCATCAGCAACCGCGCCGAGAACTTGGCGTCCCTGCAGGGGAGGCAGCGTGGTGTGTGCACGTGGGCGCTTGGGGCAGTGGGGCTGCAGCAAGTGCACGCCTGGCACCCGTCTGCTCCTGCCAGTGCTGATGGATGCTGCCTGCCTCCTGGCTGCCTGCCCAGCTGCGGTCCAGCAGCCACGCCGCACCTGAACAGCGTGTGCACCTCCTCCACATCCCCCCGCGCAATCCCCTCTCGTCCGTTTGTCCGCGACAGCACCGCCGCCGGCGTCATTAGCTGTAGCGGGGCAGGAACAGAGCACGGCGGCTCGAACAGCGCAGGCAGGCAGGTGGGCAGGCGAGCGGGCAGCAACAGTGCAAGAAGCGCACTGCAGGCGGGCGCTCAGCCTGTGTCCCCTTCATCCCCACCTGAACCGCGTGCCGCAGCGACGTCTCCTCCCCTATCTCCCCCAGGTACGTCAAGCTGTCCTCATCCAGCGCTATGCCCTCCACCTGCAGCCGCCAGGCAGCGCAGCGTGAGCAGGCAGCACGGTGCGTCAGGCCTCAGCGCGTGTGCGGGAGGAGCGCGGGAGCAGGGACGCCGCGGCGGGCCCCAGCTGCGCGATGGCTGGAGCCTCCTGGGCCCCTGCCCTGCACCCCGGCTGCCCCGGCTGCCTGTGCCTGCCCCACCCGCCGATCCCGACTGCCCCCGCTGCCGCCAGCTCCCCCTTGCGGCAACCGTCAGGCCGCGCCGGCTGCCCGGCTTCGCTGGCCGCCACTCGCCTGCGCCCGTATGGCTAGGATCTGCACCGTCTCCTCCAGCGTGTACGGCTGGGTGCGGATGATAACCAGGCGGTCCAGCAGGTCGATCGGGACGCCGTGCGGGGACAGCATGTCGGTGCCGCGCACCTGCAGGGGCGGCGGGGTGTGTGTACTGAATGGGCGACTGTGTAGTGTGGTTTTTGTGTGTCTGTGTGCGCGTGTGCGACCAAAACGTAATGTCCCAAGCCCAGCCCAGCCCAGCCCAGTCCAGCCCAGCCCAGTCCAGCCCAGCCCAGCCCACCCACCTCGCACAGCCCCCGGTTGGTTGCCAGCACCACGATGGGCGCCAGGCTCGACTCCAGCGCCCGATTCAGGTAGGTGAAGCACTCGATGTCCAGCATGTGCACCTACGTGGCAGGAGGGCGACACACAAATGGTGAGGGTGCTGGTGGTGGTTGTGTTGGCGGCTGTGGTGATGGAAAGGTGGAGGGCAGGGCATGCCCTCCTGCCAGCTGCTGCCACCAGCCCCGCGGCACCCCCTGGACACAGCAGCCTGCTCTGCTCGCCACACAAGGGCACACCCATCCCCTCTCCCGCACCTCGTCGATGAACAGCACCCCGGGCACCAGCTCCGCCACCCCCTGGTCGATGTAGCGGTTGACCACCTGCGCAGGAGGGCGGGAAGAAGGCGTGGGCAGGGGGCGGCCATGCAGGTACGGTTGTACGCCCAGAGCAGATGCAGCAGGGGTGTCCGCACCCCAGAACGCGGCGCTGCAGCCTCCCCGCAGGCACACCCGGATGCCGCATGCACCACTGCCACCCTTTCACCACACAGGAGGCCCGGCCAGCCAGCACCCCCAAACACGCCTTGTTGATCTCTTGCCGCAGCTTGTCCGTTATCTCTGTCTTCTTGGGCTTGAGCAGCTGCGGGGAGGCAGGTGCACCGGGGGCCAGGGGGGAGGGCAAGCGGCAGTCGACAGGCGAGTGGCAAGCGACATGGGCGTCGGCGAGGCGACCCGCTGCGCCGCTCCACCACCTCCTGTCTCCCGCCGCACAAGGGCTGCCACGCCTGCGGCTGTTCTGTTCGCCGCACCTGCCCCATCATGGACAGGATGTCCTGCCCGCCCTGCGGCCGCGCGTTGGCCGCATCCAGGTCGTGCAGCGTCACGTCCTGCACACGGGCACGGCAGGCACCGTGCTCAGCCGACGGGCGCGCAGCTGGGCCCCGCCCGCGCCGCCCGCTCCACGGTTTTACCCGCCCGCCCCACACCGTGTGCAAGCGACTTGTACCGACATGCACACCCACGCCACCGCCCAGCGCACCTGCACCACCTCCTTGCGCTTGTGCACGTCGCCCTTGGGCAGCGGCACGTACTCCTCGGCCTCCAGGTCGAACTCGGTGGCATAGGCGTCGCACCTGGGAGGGGCAGCAGGAACAAATGTGGTGGTCGGCCACAGCATGCACAGCCAAGCAGGCCACGCAGCAGCATGCACATGGCAGCGACACGCGCAGCTGGGACTGCCTTTATTTGTGAGCGCTGTGTCTGGCCTGGCAGGGGCTCGGTGCATGCATGCAGGAGGCAGGCTCCTCCCCATGGCAGGCGTCTGGCGGCGGGGGCGCCCCCTCACCTTCCCACCCGCTTCACGGAGCCGCTGTTGGCCTCAATGTAGATCACATCCCCCGCTGCCACCTTCTCCTTCTGCGGTGGGCAATGCCGAGGTGGCAGCAAGCAAGGTGACAAAACAAGGGAGACGGCAGCCTCCCCGGCGGGAGGTAAAGACGGCGGGGGGCGCAGCACATGCCAGGGCCATGAACGGTGGTGAGAGCACAGCGGTACATGCGGTACCATACCTGCAGGCTGTCGTAGATGGCCGGGTCCAGCTTCAGCTGCTTGGTGCCCTTCACCGTCTTCAGCCCAATCACCACATGGCTCACCACCTGCGCTGGGCAGGCAGGGGCGTTGGAGGAGGCAGTCAGAGGGTGGCAGGCGCCAGACTGGGTGGTTGCAGGTTCTGTTATGAACCCCGCCTGCTGCAGCCGGCAGCTCAGGGGGGCCTGACCACGTCGCAGCTGCTGCAGAGCGGCGCGGCGGCCTCGGTCCCACAACGCCCTGCAGCCCGCAAGGGACGCCCACACTACCCTGGCAGCTGCTCCTGCCACCACCCTCCGCCCTGCCGCACACCTTGCCGTAGCCGCCCCCCGGGTTCTCTGTCTCCACCGGCGTCAGCTCCGTCACCTCCCCCTCATACACCTCCTTGGTCTCCTTGATGCGCAGCCCTGCAGGCAGCGGCAGCATGACATGGCACAGCTCACAACCTTGGGGAGCTGCTGGATGCCTCCTGTGGCCTCGCGGCGGCCTCATCATCGCGCTGCACGCCTCCATGCCAGCGGTCTGCTTCCTGCGCGCACAGGCACAGGCACAGGTGTGCCCCCTGCCCCCCGAGCCTGGGCAGCGGCCCAGCCAGCAGCCCAGCACGCGCATGGGGAGCCGCCCCTGCACGGGGCGCCACCCACCGATGGCTCTCCGGAAGTTCTCCATGAGCACTTCAGTCTTCTTCACCTCGGAGCTGTACACCTCAGAGCCCACCATGGGGCAGAAGGGGACCTGCCGGGCAGGGCAGGCGTGGCAAAGGGCGGCAGCAGCAGCAGCAGCAGCGGCAGCGTCAGTACAGGGCAGACATGCAGGCAGCAGGCAGCAGGCAGCGGACAGGGTAGGAGGGCGTGGCTACCAGGAAGTGCTGCAGCCGTCCAGCAGCTGCCGCGCTTCACCCAGAGGCAAGCAGCCAGCCAGGCAAGCCTCACCTTGGTGCCCAGCTCCTGTGCAATGCCCAGGGCAAGAGCGGTCTTGCCGGTGCCGGGCGCGCCCGTCATCAGCAGCGCCCGCCCCGCAAACTTCTTCTGCCTGCATCCAACACGGCCGATTGCTCAGCACAGAGTCTTGATTGTTGCTGCACCGCAGGGCAAGGGCAGCGGCCACTGCGCTGCCGCCGGCCGCAGCCCGCCGCCGCTCGCCTGATCATGTCCACCACGATGCCCGCCGCCTCGCGCGCGTTCTCCTGCCCCACGAACCCCGCAGCCATCTGCACCGCGGTGCCATCCTCCTGCAGGCCCAGCCCCTTGATGTGCGTATGCGTGGAGACGCGCTGCGTCTTGGTGGTGCTGGCCACCTCCTCGATCCTCATGGTGCTTGCATTTCACAATTCACGACCTGCTGGGCGCCGCCAGGCGCCATGCAGTCAAAGCGGCGGGCGAAAAAGAAAGCGGGCTGGTTTCTTGCGATCCGTGCCGCATCGGGCGGCGCAACCGCCTGCATCGTGTACTGGGCTGCTGTTGGCATATATTGCTCACGCCAGAAGCCCGCCAGAGTGACCTCCCCAAGCCATCACCTACAGTGTGTCGGTGTAGCAAAGCCTCTGATCGCCGCAGACCCTGCCAAAGGACCTGAAGGCGCTCCGACTTCCCGGGATGGAGTCGGCGCTTGTGCTGGGTAGCCGGGAGCGGCAGCTCGGCATCTCCTTCAAGAAGCTCTTCCAGCACGACAGCGGGGTGGAGCTCAAGGTCAAGGGACTCCTGAACACCGTGTCGTGCAACGCGGAGCTGCAGGGCGCGCTCAACAAGGTGCGGCGGCGCCGCACTCGCCGCTCCCGCCAGCGTTGCATGCCCCGTCCGCCATTTCTCTGGAGGGCTGCAGTTGCTGGCCGTTTTGCTGTATTTGCCGTGTTGAACTCGCCACACAGCACGTCGATGTGGGTCAGGGAATCCCGGTCTCGTCCCCTGCCTTGTCCTCTGCCTCGTGTCGCCTCCCTCGATGCTCCTCCTCTGCCCCATGTTGCCTCCCTCGACGCCCGCCACCCGCTGCAGTTCTTCCGCGTGGGCAAGCTGGCGGTCTACAAACCCAACGAGGTGTACCAGCCAGACCTGCGGCTGCGGCTCGGCCTGGGGGTCAAGGCGGCGGGCGTGGGCGGCCAGAAGATGTCGGCAGGTGGGCTCCCTACATCCCGGCCAGTCGCCTTGCCTGCTGCACGGGCTGCCGCCGCCTATAGCTGTTGACCCTCCTGGCTCCCCACTGCTTCTACCTCGCTGCCACCCCTCCCTGCAGACGACCTGCTGCTGTCGCTGAGCGCCAAGAAGCGGGTGCAGGTGCAGCGCAGCCAGGAAGTGGTGCGCAACCGCCTGCTGCTGCGCAACTACACACAGGCCAGCCTGGGGGCCAACTACGACTACAACCTGCGCTCGGAGAAGGTAGGGGCAGTGCAGCACGGGTCAGAGCAGGGCAGGGTGCTGGCCGAGTGCTTTGCTGCACAGCGGTTGATTTTGGGTGCAGGCCCCGGCGTGCTTTGCGCCGTGCATGCTGCCTCGGGCACCGGCCTCGCCTGCTGACGGCCCTCGCGCCTGGCCGGCTGCTATGTTGTGCAGTGGGGCGGCGAGCTGCACGCGCGGCTCAGCCATGCCATCTTCCGATTCACCGACGACCAAGACGTGCGCCTCACGGCGGGGGTGCGGGCGCCGCTGACCCAGCAGGCGAGTCGGCTGGGCCTGCCGGCTGGTTGGTTTGGCTGTCTGGTGATGGCCGCTGCTGGCGGCAGCTGCAACTGTGTTGAGCTGTAGCACGCTGGTGTTGGGCTGCTTTCGTGGCAGCTGAACACAGGCTAGGGTTGCTGCGGCGTGGACGTGGCGGAGGTTTTGACTGTGCTGCCGCCTGTGCTGCCGGCCTGCAGGGCGTTGGCGACCCCAAACCCTATGCACGGCTTCAGGAGAACTGCTGGTCACTGACATTCCATCCCAACGGGGAGTGGCGGGTGGGGTACGACTTGTGATGTTGGCATGAGTCGGCGGATGGCCCGACGCCTGTCAGCTTTTTCCTTGCGCACTGCACTTCTCTCAACTGCTTGCACACCCTCTCCGCTTCTCCCCCTTTCACTGTTGTTGAACCAAGTAGATTCATGCTGCTTCCCGTTACTTCTAAACCAAGTAAATTACAGATGGATAGGGTCGCATGGGAACACAGTAAAGGAAGGAATGCGTGGCAGAGTAGAGCAAGGTCGGTGCGGCTGTGCCTGGCTGCGCATGGCGGGAAGTGCGGTTAGGCGTGTTCATTGCAGAGCTGTGCTATGTGCAGAGGGCTGAGGAGAAGAGGCAGGAGGGGAGAGGCAGGAGGGTTGAAGAGGCATGGTCACAAAGCTCTTCAGAACGGGGTCTTGCTAGATTCCGATGGCCGCCACTGAGGTCTGGCCGATGCCCCCAGCCAGATAAAATCGTGCATGCTTGGTCCCAAGGGGCAGGCGAGCGGTGCCGCCGCAGCAAGCCACTGTGGCTTGCCCGCGGCAGGCTGCTGATATTCCTGCTGCATAAATGTGGGTGCGCTGTCAAAAAGAGGGGGAGAGGGGCTGTGCAAAAGGCGTGTTGGGTCGGGCAGCGGCAACTGTCTGAACTGCTGCTACTGCTGAGCTGAGACTAGTGCTGTTTGCTGCGGGTGGTGCTATTGCTGCAGCTGCGGCTGCTGGCCCTGGATGCCGGATTGGATCTTCCAGCGCGGCACGCTGTCACTGGCGCTGTCATCGGTTGACCACGCCCGCACAGCAACAACCACGCTGCCGGCGCCGCCAGCGGGGCTGTTCCTACCGCTGCCGCCGGCGGATGCGGGGCCGCCAGACTTGACCGCAACAGCCGGGAGGCCCTTGCCAGCAATCAGGCTTGCAGGGCTGCTGCTGCTGCTGCGTGGCGCCAGGGCAGCAGCCTGGACGGCAGAGACGGCGCGAAGCTGGTGGCCTGCTGCCTTGCTAGCGGGCGGCAGAGCGGCAGCCAGTTTGGGCGCCGCCGACCGCCAGCGGCGCTCGAACTCGGCAGCCGCAGCGGCGGCATCAAAGGTTGGGCCTTGGCGCTGTGGGCGCTTGCGACTGCCAGCAGCCGCTGCAGGCTGGGAGCCAGGAGGAGGCGCGCCGCATGCTGCCTGCAGCATGGCGAGGAAGCCGCCGCCGCTGCTGCCCTGCTGCTCCAGAGCTGCCTGCTGCTCAGGCTTGGGGCCAGCCGAGTCCTCCAGCGTTGCTGAAGGCTGTGCAGCCTCCTCAGCCTCCTCCTGCTCCTCGGCAGCTCGCTGTGTGCCATCCTCTGACCACTGCACTGCGGCCGCTGCCTCGGCCTCAGCCGCCGCCGCCGCCAGCTCCTCGGCTGCCTCTGGTGGCAGTGGCATGGGCATGCCGGGCGGGAAGGGCGGCAGGGGGCCCTCGCAATAAGCCATGTGTGGGTGCGGCGGCATGGGCATGCCGGCTGGGGCGCCCGGGTGGCCGGGGGGCAGCGGGTAGGGGGCTGGGTGGTAGAAGGCTGGGTGGAAAGGAGGGAAGGGCCCTGAGGGCGGCACATCTTGCATGTCCATGCTCCCAAACTGCGGCACACACGGCAAGCCAGGGGACAGTGCAAATGAGGAGAGAGAACACTATGAGACAAATGAACAGCACTGATCCTGAGCAGCATGAGGGGGCGTGCTTGACGACACAGGCAGGCACAGCGAGCAGTGGGCACGCTTGCCCACACAGCTTGCCCACACACACACGACCCCCCTCCATGCCCACCTGCATGCCCTGAGGCGGCGCCATCACGGGCCAGTAGTATCCCACCGGCGGCGGCATCACAGCGCCGTCGGGCCCCACCCAGCCCGGCACAGGGTAGCCGCCCACCGGCAGCGGCAGCAGTGCGGCAGGGGGCGGCGAGCCTGCACACATAGGCAGACAGAGAAGTGACTATCAGGGCAAGCAGCAACCAATCAGGTTGGCGAACCTGCCAGGTGAGCTCACTGTGCACAGCTCGTGTTTGGCGTGCACAACACCATGCTGCAGCAAATGACCAGCCCACCTGCATCCGAGATTGGGGGCGTGACGGATGCACAGCGCCGAGCCTCAGCTCCCTCTGCCGCAGCGTGGCCTCCAGCTGCGGCCTCACTGGCGGCGGCGGTGGCAGGCTTGGCTGGCTCCTGTGTGGCGGCGGCAGGTGGCTCTGCAGCGGCGCCTGCGGGCGCCTCAGGTGCTGTTGCTGCTGGTGCAAGCTGCGGTTCCTGCGCTGCAACGGCAGGCGCAGTCGGTAGTGGTGTGCCAGCTGCGACCGCGGTGCCAGCCTGTGGCTTGGCAGCAGTGGCGGGCACAGGCCAGGACTTCGGCTGCTGCCCTTGGCTGTGGGGTGCCGGAACTGGTGCCAGCTGCTTTGCCTGCTGCTTGGGGGCAGGCGCAGCCTCAGGCTTTGCCGCCGTTGGCTTGCCCGTCTCTTTCTGTGTCTGGGCGGCAGCTGCTGCATAGCTAAAGGCTGGCGCAGCACCGTTGCCGGCAGCAGGCGCTGCTGCTGGCGGTGCAGCGGGCACGGGCTTGCCGCCTGCTGCTGCTGCCGGCAGCGCAGGAAAGCCATCTTGGTGCGCCAGTGAGACCTTGCTACCGGCTGCTGGCTGGGGAGCCGCCGTTGCTGCTCCTGCTGCCAGCTTTCCATTTGTCGGCGGCCCTGCTGCTGCTGCCGTCGAGCGCTGCTGTGAAGCAGCCCTAACGGGCGCTGCGGTGGGTGCCGTCGAAGCACTGCTAGAGCGTTCAGCCGCTACCTTGGGAGGTGGCCGCTCAGCGGCAGGCAGAGCGCTGCCGCTGCTGCTGCGTGCGGCCCGCACAGCGCTGCTGCCCTTGGCTGCGGCGGGCGCTGCGTGCAGGGTGCCATTGGCCTTGGGCGGAGCCTCGCCACGAGAGGCGCGGGAGGAGGGGCGGCTGCTGGCGGTGCGCCAGCCGTTCTCAAGCTCAACTGGCTCCCCCTCCTCCTCCTCCTCTGCTGCCGCATCCTCTGCTGCAAACAGAAAGTTTGTGAAGCTGCTGGTAGTGGCAGAGGGCCGCTGCGGGCTGCTGCCATAGCGGCTGCCACCAGCAGGCGGCGACAGCGCCCGCACTGGTGCCGCCTTGCCGTTTGCTGTGGGCTGCTGCTGCTGCGCGTGCGCTGCCTCAACAGGCTGTGCTGCTGCTGTGGCTGCGACGGCGGAAGCCACCTCGCCAGCATCTGCATCTGAGCTGGCTTCAGAGGCCGCAGCCGTCGCTGGCTTGCTGGAGGTGGCGTGCTTGCCAGGCGCCGCAACCTTGCCCTTGCCCTTGGCTTTTGCCTTCTTCTTGCCACCTGCAGCCGCCGCATGCTGCTGCGTGCTGCCGCCCTGCTGCTGCTGCTTGCCCTTCTGCGCCACCTGGGCCGCTTCCTGGTCCTGCGGGCGCACAAGGATGGCAGGGGAAGCAGGGGAAGATCAAGCGAGCACAGATTCACTATGGGCAGTGGCAGCAGGCACGCAAACACACAGGAGTGGCAGCAGACACTGGCTCTGCCCACCAGCACAAGACAGGCAGCGGGCCGCGGCAGCAGAGATCCACCCAGCCCGCACCTCCAGCTCCCGCTGCAGCCGCTCGGCATCGCGCTGCTTGGCCCGCAGATGAGCCTCAACCAGGCGCTTGGTCACCAGCGCCCCCAGCCCTGCCTCCAGGTTGTCGCCTGCACAGCATGCGGGGAATGGCAGGCATCCAGGTCGGCTGGCCACCTTCAGGACGGGCAAGGTGACCAGGCTGGACGCACAGATCTCGCCCTTCCATGCAGGGCGTGGTCTGGGGGCGAGAGGTACCGCAGTGCAGTACAGGTGGTGCGCACCAGCGGAGAACTCGGCCCGGTTGATGGTGTGGCTGCCGCACAGGAATGTCCCCTCGCTGACCTGGCTCAGCACGCTGCAAGGCGCAGCGGCACAGCGGTGCAGCATGCTTGAGTGGGGCACAGCCTGAACACGCCAGCGGCAGCAGCAACCCCTCCGCTCTTGACCGCTGTCGCACAACCTCAAGGCTGCCACAGCGAGCTGCAATCATGCCTGACACGTGCTCCTGGCAGAGGGTCGCACCTGACGAGGTTAGAGCCGGTGAAGGTGCTGCCGCCCGAGGCAGTGCCGGTGCAGAACTGGTGCAGCATCTTGCCGGCGGTGTGCAGCCGCCGCTGCTCCTTGCTCAGCCCCTCCAGCTGGCCGTCACGCTTGCGGTGCAGCAGCTGCGCCTCCAGCTGCACAGGCCAAAGGGATGCGATACACTGTCAGCGCAGAAGTCGCGCAGCAGGCTGAGTGCAGGGCTGCGGTAAGAAGCTCAAGCCAAGCGCCGCGTGCGGCTCGTTTGGCGCACCTGGCGTACAATGTGCTCGCTGTTGGGCTCGCTGCTCAGGTCCATCACCTCCCGCTTCTCCCCCTCACCCAGCCTGTCCCAGAACTCAGCCAGCTGCTTGGAGTCTGCAGGCGGCATGCGCAGCGGGCACGGAGGGAGTTGCAGGCCGCGAACAATCAAGACAGGCACTGCCACGCCCGGCAGCCGGCACGCTGGTGGAGTGCAGCGTGCCGGCTGACACTCAGCCGGTGCTGGTGAGCGGCACCAGGCGCCGCCCACCTGGCACGCCGCCGCTGCTGTGCGCGCCGCCGCGTGTGCCGCTGGCGCCCAGGTGGGAGCTGATGCAGCGGCGCTGGTTGATGGTTGACAAGAACTCTTTGCGGCAGCGAGGGCACTTGTGGAAATGAGGCGTCCGCGGCTCGGCCTGGCCGCCCGCGCCGGCATCGGACCGTGGGTAGGCATGGTAGCTGCTGCCGTAGCTGCGGCAGGGAGCAGAGATGGGGAAAGGAGCAGTTGGGTGCGGCGGAGGACGCACTGCAGCAGAGAGCAGAGGCAGGGACGTGTGTGCAGGCCGCATGCGCTTTGCTGGCCCGCGCACCTGGCTGACTGCAGGTGAGGCGTGCGGGTGGGGCCCACGCTGTACAGCAGCGGCTGCGTCTCCTCGCTGCTGCGGCTGTCGCTGAAGCCGCCGCTGCCGCCTCGGGACATGCTGAAGGCGTGGGTGGTGGACAGCATCCCACCGGGCACTCGCCGCTGCACGTAGAGCGGCGCCGACGCGGCGCTGCGCTCGCTGCCGCTGCCGCTGCCGCTACGAGGGGAGCTCTGCGGTAAGGCAGGCGCGGCAGCACAGCCATGGGGGCGGCGCCCAGTCAGCAGTCAATGGCGGCAGGGAGGGAAGGCAACAGGGAGCATACAGAGCAGTAGTGGCAATGAACACATGCGCAGGTCAGAAGGTGAGCAGTCACTCTCATCAGTGCAGAACACATGGGCCCATGGCCGCCGAATGAGAACTTTGCATGCGGTGCTACAAACAAGTGGCCACGCACCCCGGATCCATTGGAGTTCGAGAGCGCCGAAAAGGTATCTAGTGCTGCCGACTGGCGTGGCGGCATGGCTGTTATACTAGGCGCCGGCAGCGCCGCGTCGGCTGCCTGGCTGGTCGAGCGGCCACGGCGGCGCAGCCCGCTCTCCGGCGGCGAGTCTAGAAGGCTGTCCTCCTGGACACCAGCTGCCGCCTCCTCCCCCTCGCTGCTGCCCTCTGCTGTGCTGCTGGCGCTGCTGGGGCGTGAGTCCGGTGGCTGCGCAAAGCGGCCCAGCACCAGGCCGGGGCCGCCGGCGCCTGCCCCAGCAGTGCTCTTCTGCCGGCTGACGCGGCTGCTGCTAGTCTGTGTGCCCTGGCTGCGGCTGGCCAGCTCGCCGGCGGCGCTGTCGCTATTCAGGGCTGCCATAGGCATACCCGGCCGCGGCCCGAGCAGCGGGAAGCGGATGAACTCTTCGACGTCCAATGACATGCTGCCGCTGCCGCTGCGGGGGAAGCCTGGTGCGGCTGCGCTGTGGCTGCTAGCGGCCGCCGCGGCTCTAGAAGTTGGCCCTGCCGCCGCCAGCGCCTCCTCCCGCTTCACAACCTTGACCGCGGAGCACAGATGGGGGTAGACCTCGCTGCGCACCGCAAACAGCCCCGCCTCTGCCGGCGTCCTGCAGGCAGGCAGCAGCATCAGCAGCACTTGGTGTAGAGCTGGGGCCATGCTGAAAATGAGACAGTCCAATTGCGGCATTGAGGGCCGTGGTGCGGCAGGGCAGCATGGGCAACGAGGGCAAGCGGCGGCAAGCGGCGGTGGCGGCGGCGGCGCACCAGGTGTAGGAGCTGCCTGCGGGGATTGCGGGCGTCTCAAACACGTCCTCCTCGTCCCTCCCGATCCTGAAGCTCTGCGGCGGGCCGCTTCGCACGGTGATGAGGAGAGTCCCGCCCTGCTGCAGCACAAAGCTGGTGGGCTGGAACTGCTCCTCGCTGACCCTGATCTCCGCCTGCCGCCGCACAAGATTCATAGCGCCATCAGAGGGGGATTGCGCCGAGGGCGCCGGCCGAGCAATCGAAGTCGAACTGGCTGGGGACTGCGTGGCAGCGCGGCGGCTGGTTTGGCGGGTGCCAGGGGCCAGCAGGGGCCCGCTGCCGCGCGGATGGCAGGCCGATCGCGCAGCCAGCAGGGGCACTCCCGGTGCCCGCCCCAGCTCTCGCTGCCCCACCTTGCTGGGGCGACGATCCAGGCCCTCCAAGAACCGCCAAAAGTCGCTGTCGCTCAGGTCCTCCTGCCGCTCAAGCTTGCTGCTGATTGCCTCGAGCGCACTGCTCATAAACAGGCGGTCAGGGTCTGCACTAGCAGACTCGGGGTGGGAGAGCAGGGCAAATTGAGGGCGCAGAGGGCGCGCGGCCACCAAAAGTGATGCAATTGGAAAGGCGCGGTCAAACGGCAGCGCGGGGAGGTGGACCAGCATCCTTCGTTGCGCACCCTGCTACATGGCCAATCGAGCGCTAGCGGTTGCAGGGGGCATGTTTCCAGCAGGTTTACATGCATTCCATAACTCGAAAGCAAAGAGGAAGGCGCCATGGAGTGTGGTGGTGGTGTGCGGGAGGCGGCGCCGGCAAGTTCCACACGCGTGTCCGAAAACGAAAGCTGTTCTGTGCACAGTGTTATTCATCAGCACGCTTTCAAACTACTCTACACACCCATGAAGACATTGGTGCCGCCGCCAGCTCAATCACCCGCACCAGCACATCTGCTGGCAGCGCTGCGAGGACGCAGCTCGGGCTTTCTCTGCTCCGTTGAGCAAGCCCGGGCGCACTGCTGCCACTGCCGCCACCCGTCTTGGCACGTTGCCGCCCACCAGACCTGCTGCTGCTGGCGGGCGCAGTGCGGTGCGCCGCCAGCAGCAGGGTGCGTGTCACCGCCTTGAAGACAGCCAGCCAGTGGCAATGGGTGGAGCGGCTCCAGACGCCGCCTGCCGCAATGAAAATCAGCCTGCACAGCAGCATGGTGTGCACGCCAGTCAAGTATATAACTCCACTCAAATAAGAATGCCAGGCAGGCAGCGCAATGCTATCGCCAACCCTGCTTGAATGTTTTGGATCAAGTGGAGTGCCCTGCCAGCTACCACAAACATATTGCCAGCCACTGCCCTATCCACCCACCTCGACATGCCCGGTTCGTTGTAGCGAGATAAATCCGGCAGCACCTGCTGTACCTCCTCAATGCTATACTTTGTCGGACGGTAGCCAGCGCCCGCCAGGAGCTCCAACACCCGCATGGCATCCCACAGGCACTCGCGGTAATACTCCCACCCGCCGATCCGCCCACAGGCCAGATGCCTGATCTGCAGGAGCAGCGGTTAGAAACACATCTACAGTCGCTGCAGACACTGGCAAAGCAAGGGCAGGTGCAGCAAACATGTGTGCTGCTATGCCACAGTGCATTGCATGCGACGTGCTGCCACTCACCGCAGCATGCAGCGCTCGGTGCACAGGGCAGCTAAAGCTGGTCAGCCATCTCAGCTCAAGAGCGACACGGCTTGTGTCCACAGCTGGCAGCGGCGCGCACGCCAACAGCCCTGCCAACGCCTCTGTAGAAGAGCTCTGTAAGCGCTGCACCACCACTAACAGCGTCTCTGCATTGAGTGGTGCCCCCGCCCGGTGCAGCAGCGGTACAGAAACAGCAGCACCACGACGCATGGCAGCCCTCTCCAAAAGCGTGCAGCCGATGGAGTCAGTGAATGCCAGGTCAAAAGGCACCCGGCTTGCCAGCAGTGGCGGCAGGGTGGCGCCGGGAGCGGCGCCGTGGCTGGCTTCCATGAGGATGTCGTTGAGTCGCCAGTCGTCCCAAGGATGGGCTACAAGCGTGTGGCCATCTGGCCCAACCTCGAAGAGTGACTCCAGAATTGGGATGAAATGGAGGAGCAGCGCCATCAGGCCGCGCCGCGCCGCCCCTCCCACCACATTCATCGCCTGCAACTTGCAGCGCACCTGCAGCGGCGCCCCCGCCTGCCGCTGCTGCTCCAGGTGCTCGAAGCATGCGTTCCCCACCACATAGGATGAGAACATGAAATTCGCTTTCAGGGGGTCGGCGCCGTATCGCAGTAGCAGCTTGACCAGCTGGATGTTGGTCGCCGCCCGGGGATCTTGCAGGCTGTCAGAAAGCGGTAGGGCGCGGATGGGGTGCTGGTAGTGGGTGCCGGCATTCGGGTCGGCACCCAGCTCCAGCAGCTGCTGCAGCGCCTCCTGGTACACCATGCTGCGGGGGCAGCGAGCGAGTCAGGCGCCAAAGGTAAGGCAAGGGCAAGGCATGGCAGGGGCCGGCCAAGCATCTGGTGCACCGTGTGCCGCACACTGCCTGCGTGCACTGCAACCTTACCGGGCAGCCAGGATCAGCGGCGTGCAGCCTGCGCCGTCACGAAGCACTCGGTTGAGCTGGCGGGGGGTCAGCTGGATGCCTCGATCGATGAGGAAGAGCTTGAGGGCCAGCATGCTGTCCTCGCATTCCTCCAGCACAGCATCCAGGGGCACGCCTGCCGTGCAGAGCAGCAGCATTGCCTCCACGCAGCGGCCCATCACTGCTGCGTGAAACAGCGTCAGGGCGCCGGGGCCGCGAAGCGCCGCCGCTGCTTGGCTGCCGCCGCGCGCTTGCAGGAGATGGATCAGACTGGCCGGGTTATTGGACAGCACTGATCTCCACAACGAGTCGGCTGTCGTTTCGCTTGCAGATGCGGCTGCCTGGATGGCGGCGCGCGTCGCCACCATCTGCAGATACAACTGTCGCTGGCGGAGGTTGACGACGGGGTTCCCCTGCAGGGTCTGAAGACGCGGATGATCACGGGATGCGTTCTACATCCACAATCTGCGCCGCCACTGTTCAAATTTTGTAGCAAAAAGAAAGCAACATGCCACGTGTCCTCGTCGCTGCCGCTCTTCTCTGCTTAGGCTTGAACTGATTAAACCCTGCGCAGTGCAGTGCCTCCCGCCTGTCCCCTGATCCCCAGCCCCTGATTTGGCCCACACTCTTCAGTTCACAAGTAATGGTGACCACCGGTGAGGTGGAGGCCTTGCAATCACCCAAACATGCGCATCGGAGTCCGCTAGAGCCTTTGGACGTGCACGGAGCGCCCCATCGCACATGCGCCGCCCCGCAATGCCCTAGCCGCTGCCGTGCCTCCCCTGCAGGCGTTGCGACCCAGAAGGCGGTGCTGGGCGGCAACCGGGTGCAGGCCCGGTGCGCCGCCGCCCGGGCCAGCCGGCCTCGGGTCGTGGCATGCAGCGCCAGCAAGGGCTCGGTCAAGAAGGTGGTGCTGGCCTATAGCGGCGGCCTGGACACCTCCGTGATCCTCAAGTGGCTGCAGGACACGTACGATTGCGAGGTGAGCGTGGTTTTGCCCCCCGCCGCCGCCACCGGCGCTCCAGTGCAGCCGCCCTGCCGCTGCTGCCTGTACCCTCCCTATGCCGTGGCATGCACCCCCGGTTGATCGATCAAACCTTTGTCGGCGTGCGCAGGTGGTCACCTTCACCGCCGACCTGGGCCAGGTGAGCACACCCACTGCCAGGGGAGGAGGCAGCGCAGGAATGGCGCGCCAGCCATGATCGGTGCATCCGCTCAACGCCAGCTCCCTCTGGACACTCTTCCCACCCTACCAAACTAGGTGCACCCACCCCGCCCTTGCCGCCGCTCAGGGGGAGGAGCTGGAGCCTGCGCGGCAGAAGGCGGAGGCGGCGGGCGTCAAGGAGATCTACATTGACGACCTGCGGGAGGAGTTTGTGGGCGACTTTGTGTTCCCCATGTTCAGGTGCGTGTTATGTGCGTGCGCAGGACGCTGGGCAGGCTGGCACCTTGCTGTGCTGTGCTGCCAGCACCTCAGCTTCTTTCGCGCTGCGCACCTCATGCTTCTGACCTGCTGAGGCAGCCCGTACCGGCCCTGCCGTACCACAGGGCCAACTCGCTGTACGAGGGCACCTACCTGCTGGGCACCTCCATCGCCCGCCCGCTCATCGCCAAGCGCCAGATCGAGATCGCGCTGGAGGTGCGGCCTGGACAGGCTGGGAAGCCTGGTAACGGCTGGGAGGCTGGCGGGCCAGGGCTGCGCCAGAGGGCCGCTCGATGGTCCTGTGCTGTGCTGTGGCAGCGTGTGTTGGTGAGGTTGGCTGGACCACGCTGCTGCCCACCGCGCTGCTGGTTGGGGCTTACTGCAGGTGGGCGCCGATGCCGTGTCGCACGGTGCCACCGGCAAGGGCAACGACCAAGTGCGCTTTGAGCTGGGGTGAGGCGGCCCGCCGGCTGGGCAAGCAGCAGCAGCAACATGTGGCGTGAAAGACAGCAAGAGGCTGCTGCGGTGCAGCAGTAGGGCCGCCTGTGGCGCTCCATCGCGCCTGCACGGCCGGGCATGCTATACACACACGGCATCTGGGGCATGCCTGGGGGCATCCCTGCCGCTGCTCCTCCGGCTGCCCGCACACCTCCCCTCGCCTTGCACCCTGCAGCTACTACGGCCTGAAGCCTGACATCAAGGTCATTGCCCCGTGGCGCGAGTGGGACCTCAACTCCCGCACCAAGCTCATCGCCTACGCTGAGCAGCACGGCATTGCGGTGGGTGCGCTGGTGGCATGTGGGTGGTGGTGGTGGTGGTGGCGCGTGGTTGCTTGTGGCTGGGCCAGGGATGCGGTACAGCTACTATGTGGGGAGGACGCGGGCCGCGGGGCAGGTTGATGACGGAGCAGTTGGGAGTTCCGTGGCGCCGCAGCTGGCGCTGACCCGCCCCTGCCTGCTCATCACCGTCTTGCAGGTGCCCGCCGGCAAGCGCAACGAGCCCCCCTTCTCGATGGACGCCAACCTGCTGCACATCTCGTATGAGGGGTGAGCTGGCGCCAGCCGCCCGTACAGCTGGCACGTCTGCCTGTGGGCCCACTTCTCCGGGCACCGCCCATTCCTGAATCCCCAGCCCCAAGCCTCGCTTGTGATCCGCCGTGTCAGTTCAGCCTCCGCCTCCCGTTGCTTCAGCCCAGGCCCCTCCCCGCCCCTGCCTGCAGCAATGCGCTGGAGGATCCCTGGATCGAGCCCAGCGAGACGATGTTCACCCGCTCAGTCAGCCCTGAGCAGGTGCGCGCCCCTGCCCCTGGGTGTTGCCTTCCTTGCAGCTGCCTCGCGGGCTGCTGCCAGGCGTGGCCACTGGCCGGGGTGCTACTCACCCGAGGCATCACTTTCAGACGATGGGCTGCCCCAAGGCTCGATGCCTTCCTCTGTCGACCCCCGCCCGCCTCCCCCTCCCTGTCCCCCGCTGCCCAGGCCCCAGACAAGCCCACCTACATCGAGATTGAGTTTGAGAAGGGCGACCCGGTGGCCATCAACGGCACCCGCATGTCCCCCGCCACAATCCTGACAGAGCTCAACCGCCTGGGCGGCGAGAATGGTGGGCGGGGAAACGTCGGGCGGGGCTGGGGCGCCGTGGCTCCTCTCCTCTCCTCTCCCTCTCTGTCCTTCACCTCTCCCACCCTCCCTCCAACACCCACGCTTGCATCCGCCCGTCCCCTGCGCCGCAGGCATCGGGCGCGTGGACATTGTGGAGTCGCGCTTCGTGGGCATGAAGTCGCGGGGCGTGTACGAGACGCCCGGCGGCACCATCCTGCTGGGCGCGCGGCGCGCCATGGAGTCAATCTGCCTGGACCGCGGCGAGGCGCACCTCAAGGTGGGATTGGGCGGGCTGGTAGCGGGGGCGCTGTGTGGGTGTGAGTGGTAACAGAGCGGCGGGGCTGCTGCCGCCAAGGATCATCGGCATCTACGGCCTTCTCCACTTGCTGATTCCCGCACCACCCGCCCGCCAGAAAGGTCCTACTAGTGCTCCAGCAGCAGTCCATGCTCCTTTCCCTTACGCCTTGTAATGCCTGTGCCGCACCCATGTACCGCAGGATGACCTCATGCCCAAGTACGCGGAGCTGGTGTACAACGGCTTCTGGTTCTCCCCCGAGCGCCTCGCGCTGCAGGACGCCATCGACCGCACGCAGCAGTTTGTGGCGGGCACGGTGCGGGTGAAGCTGTACAAGGTGGGTGGCGCTGCGGTGGGAGGCGGGGTGGAGGCTGTGCGTACTTGTGTGCGTGTGTGGTGGTGGGAGCTGGGGTGGAGGCTGTGCGTGTTTGTTTGTGGCAGTCGTGTGTGCTCTGGTTGGGCAGCACACGACACAGCCTACGCGAGCTGGCCCGTCAACCACAACGTCTCAGCTCCGTCGACGCCTGACCCAGCCGCCGACTGCTGCCGCTGCTGCAGGGCAACGTGGTGGTTGTGGGGCGCAAGAGCCCCTACAGCCTGTACGACGACAAGATCAGCAGCTTTGAGGATGATGGCGGCGCGTACGACCAGAAGGACGCGGCCGGCTTCATCAAGCTGCAGGTGAGGGTGGTGCTGCTGCGCCTGACGCGCCGCCTGCTGCCACCCCAGCCCGGCGGTGCTCTGCGCAATCGAGCTGACGGACGCGGCTCTGGGGAGGGCGGGACATGTTTGTGGGAGCGAGGGCAGACACCTGGCCCATTGCCTGCCCTACTCACCCACACCCTTCGGCCTGGCCGTGCCCCGCTGCAGGCGCTGCGCCTGCGCACCCTGGCGAAAAACCGCGGCCACAAGTGGAACAAGGAGTTGTTCTGAGTGGGCAGAGACAAGCGTGAGCCCCGGCTAGCTGCGGGGCAGAGTCCCGCCACGGGGCGACAGCGGTAGCTGCGCTGCCGGTCCAGCCGCGGCTGCGGCGGAAGCGGCGCCGGCCTGGCCATTGCCAGCGGCACTTGCTGGGGCTGGGGCTGGACTGCTGATGCGCCAGCCAACCCAACGATTATTAGTGGCGCCCTGCTTCTCCTCCTTTTCCTGTTTCCGTGAGTGCTGTTCTTTTTGTTGACCGCATGCATGCGTTGATCCTCTGCCCTGCTATCTCTCATATCCATCCCATCCGCATTGTGTGTCTCCTGCCCTGCATTCATGCAACACCGCAAACTGTGACTGTTCAGCAAGGCCCGCTCCTGAGGCAGCCGCACATAGGCTGCTGCTGCTGGTTTTGTGCCGGCTGGCTGCGCCGTGGCAGGCTGCAAGCACCGGCGGCACAGAAGGTGGAAGAAGGTGCCTGGAAGCAAATGCGTCTCCCCCGCCGCCGTTACCATCCGCTAGGGCACCAGCGCTCAGGCCTCGCGAGGAATGGTGGACAGTGTCACAACAGAAATGGAAATGCGGCATTGACTGAGATCTGGGGGGCAAGCGGCCTCACTTGACGCCGCCCACCCGCAGCAGCTGCACCTCAAACAGCAGCGGCTCGCCCGCGTGGTTGGCCAGCTGCCGCTGCGTCGCAAAGGTGGGCATCTACAGGCGGAGGGCAGGCCGGCGTTTTTTAGGGTTTTTAGGGTTTTTTTAGGGTTTAGGGTTTTTTTAGGGTTTAGGGTTTCCAGGGTTTTTTTAGGGTTTAGGGTTTAGGGTTTAGGGTTTAGGGTTTAGGGTTTAGGGTTTAGGGTTTAGGGTTTAGGGTTTAGGGTTTAGGGTTTAGGGTTTAGGGTTTAGGGTTTAGGGTTTAGGGTTTAGGGTTTAGGGTTTAGGGTTTAGGGTTTAGGGTTTAGGGTTTAGGGTTTAGGGTTTAGGGTTTAGGGTTTAGGGTTTAGGGTTTAGGGTTTAGGGTTTAGGGTTTAGGGTTTAGGGTTTAGGGTTTAGGGTTTAG